ACTTTTATTTCACGTCCCTTAGGACCCTAACACTTAGCTTGACATGAAATTGCATGCCCATTTTTATACCCATAGATTTGTAAAGTATGTGTTTTTACATTTGGTAAAGTACCTAAACAAATGGACTATAGCACTATTTGTTACTAACGAATAACTAAATGTCGGTACCTAACATTAATAAATTCCAATCGTGGCATTTCGCTTTTGTCAAAGTTAAATTCGTATGAATTTACTTTGTACCTTGGTACGATAAATAGATAATAATTGAAAAGGGTATTTCAGGTTTTTTTTACGCACACACTCATGGCCCCCGCACTAGGAATACTACTACAGAGACAATCACTAATAACACGAGATAAATAAATGTAGGCCCTACAAATATTTCTCCCGGCCCGGGAATCGAACCCGGAACCTCTGTGTGGCAGCTCAGCATTGTAATTGTTTGGCAATAGAGGTAGTTGATGTTAGTTTTCTCTACCCAATTTCGGTGGTAATTTTTAATATTTAAATGTTCTAGAATTATCACGAACTAATATGTAATATTCGAGTGTAGTAACCTGAAATATTATTTAATGTTTCACGGTAACATGCTCGCATGCTTAAATAATAAAAACCACCACCGAAATTAGGTAGAAATCTGAAAATTACCCAGAAGTGCTTTTATAACATGAACGAACTCCATGCCAACGATATGAAACAGATTATGTGTAAGTATGTGAAATTTTATAAAAAGTTATTAACTAATTTTTCATTATTATATCACAAATATATATTATTATAAGTTATCAATTATCATCAGAATAAAAAGTAACCTTGGCTCCGACTACCTACAGCCTTTGGAGACGAAAACCTTGGCCCGCGGGGTCTCGGTGCCCTTCATTTGGACAAAATTTAAAATTTTATATAAAACATTAATAGACTGTCTGGGAAAACCCAAGGCCTTTGCCCAACGATTAGCATAATCATACAAAGAGGAACTGCTGCCAGCATCAACCCAAATTTATTCCTATTTTTCTTTTTTTTATAATGTCAAGTGACAGGACGAACAAGTCCCTGATGGTAAACTGTCGCAAAGATTTGAGGGGCACTGCCACTGCGCCCATCATCCTGAGTCATAAGTTGACAAGTCCCATGTGCCTGTAATTTCACCAGCACCCAAATAATTTATAATACATATAATTTAATTCTATAGTTTCTGTTATTTAGGCTTTTATTGTACCTTACCTGTTTATTTCAACTTATTGTCTAAAAAAATTATTATCATTTTGCAGATGTGGCTTTATTCCACTAAAAGTGCGAATTTATGCAAAATTATGACATGTTATTGAAAATATGTAAGATAATTTCTGTTGAAAACAATGTTTGCTTTCTCAAATATTACAAGAATATTCAAGTCATGAATATAAAGTACCAAAAAATTATAAATATCCAACTAGACAAGCGATGATGGGTAGCTGAAACTTAACTAAACGCTAAAACAAATAACGTATATGGTAAAAGAACTAAGGACTATTTAATTCCAAGATTGTTTAACTGTCTTCCGTCACACTTAAAAAAACATTAAAGGTAGTAAAAAGTCTGTTAAAAATGAAATAAAAAAAATATTTGTTAGATACAATTTAGGTATCGAGTTCTTAGGTTTTCGCGTTTGTTACACATAGGAAATGAAACTATTTTTCCGGATTTAAATGGCGTTTATTTGTATTTTCAAACAAGCCGACGTTTCGGGCCCTTTACAGGTCCCATGGTCACAATTGACTTTGACAGTCAAAGCTGCTTTGTTTGAAAATACAAATATACGCGATTTAAATCCGGAAAAATAGTTTCATTTCCTATACAATGTAGGTAAATATTGAAAAACTGTAATGTTGGTATCTGAGTGTAATGTTTATGTGTTTATGTAACTCTCCCGATAAACTTTCATGAAGTTTGGGAGAACTTTAATTTTATTTGTAAAACAGTCACTCGCAGGATAAATAAATTAAAAAAAAAAACCATTTTGCTCATTAATAAATTTAAATAAATGTTTAGCTCGATAATATTGCTTATTAGACTCAACTGTATTATAATTACGTATATGTTATAACCATGAAAAGGAAACAACAGAACTGATTATACCAATATATAAACAGAATCATCCGTGGTTTGAACTTTGTGCGTTGGCGTAGCGAAGACTATAAGCAGTCAACAGCTAAACATAACTTTGACAAAGGAAAATGAAAATTTTTCGACATCCTAGAGTTGCCAAGGTAGTAGATATGCGTATTTTTGTTTATTGCAGGTGGGAGTGGTTATAAATTAATGATAGTATGGTGTGTGCTGTAATACAGGCAGCTTAGTTTTGTATTTAGAATTGTATTAATTATAGATGTTGATGTCAAACGGACATCTAGGAGTTCGAAATTGAATACACGTATAAATCTTTATTTATGAATACAATCGTCGTTTTATATTTAAAAAGTACCTCTACGCAAACCCAAGCTGCGTTTCCGTTATAGTACCCAGTTTATCCAGTATTTTATCCTACCCTATTTTTATACTCGACATGATAGGCTATTATAAACTGAAGGTAAGAAGAGAAGTAGCTCTCGCCATTTACTTACCGATTCACAAGACATCGATTTGTTCAATTGTTCTCTGAATTAATACGCACAGGCTGCATATTGTACAATACCATTTGGTGGTACATATTAAATGAGTTTGTTTATTGTTGACATGTTTGAAATTAGTTAGGTAACTACACTATTGTATAATGTAGGGGAACGTGGGGTATTGGGAGCCGGTGGTTGATATGGTGTGATATGGTGTGGTTGATGAGAGCGGTGTTTTTTTGTGATTGTGTGTTTTTCGCTTCGCGCTTATAAAGTTTGCCACATTTCATCATCCCAGGTAAGCATTAAAATGCATAGATACTACATTGTATTTACACTAGCTATGTCAGAATATCTATCAAATATTTATATTTGATAGATATTTATAGATATTGACAAATATTTATATATTTTAGAAGTTATACTTGAAATCACAATAAAAATAGAAATGTTTTTACTGTTTTATTCCTTTTTTTTATTTATGTGGCATAAATTTTCCATCACGGAATATTCCAATACCCACACTAACTCAGGCAAACACATACACCCACACACACACACACACACACACACACACACACTCGTACACAAAATTACATAGATATATTTATCACAATTTGCATATTACAATGTATCCAACTTGTTATATAATTATTACTTAGAGTACTTTTTATCGAGACTTTTAATAATAGATTCTTTCACTTTATTTTTTTTTTGTAATAAATTTTTAATTTATATTTTTCTCATGAAATAGACTTAAGCCTTGTCAAAATTTGGGAGAGGGCACTGGCTCCTGTCACACAGGTTTTACCTAGCTCAGGAGTCAGGGACTTCATCAATATGTTGTAATCTATTTTGTGACAATAAATATTATTATATTATTAAAAATATTATTATATATTATTTTTTAATTCATCGATTTGTTTGATTCGAATTTGGCTCTCCTTATCTCATTGCAATATTCTCTGGATATTCCTTTGACACTGTTTTGTTTATTTTCATTACTTTTTAACTTATATATTTTATTACCTTAATTTTTTTTTCAGACTGATTATATAAAGCCATTATATACATATATTAGGCTCCCATTTGACATACGGGATTCTTACCGGTTCCCATTTCCCGAACTGTGGGGTAATGAGAGCGAATGACATGTTTTAGTTTTTTCTGTTTTAACCAAATATTTTATTTTAGTTTCATATTTTTTCTGCGATTATTTTTTACCCAGATATATTACGCTTCACATATCTGGGTACTAAATTATCACAGAAAAAATATGAAACTATAATAAAATATTTGGTTCGTTCATAACTAATAAAAATTTAAATTGCATAAATTATGACTTTTATTGTCAATTGTCCTTAGTAGGCTCCCTATCCCCGACGCTCTCCTACATCTGTAATGATAGATGTAAGAGGTTATTAATCATAATTATTGCTTTATTATCGCATTAGGTTAAATTCGCTATGAAGAATCGTTGGCTTAAAGATGATGGCTCTATTGACTTTTTGGAGACCGCTGGTTTATATTGGTGATTTTTTTAATTTTTTGTTTTAAATATTTACAGTGACATTTTTCGTACAAAGTTGGTGAAACTTGTACGTATTTTTTTAGACTAGAATTAAAAGGACGTTAATCATTTTATATTTCAGGTTTATAAAATTACAAGATCGCATAATATAAATGCGGTCCGCATTGAAGATAACGACCAAAAATATAATGACATCATTATCGTCATCCTATAATATGTCTCACTGCCAGGCAAGAGTCTCCCCTAAATAGAGTGTTTATATTATTATATTTCACAAGTTTCGTATAGGTTGAGAACCATTGTAAGTAAGTTGTGAGGTATAGCTACTAAACGTACCCAAATTGTCATAACCTAGAAATTAGTCGTAGGTAGATGCTACCTACCGGAAATTGTTTCGTGGACGTCTCAATAGAGAAGTAATCCCTCGCCGAACTATCACAAAATGTCATGAAATTACAACGACAAATTGGCTTGTCTATAACAGCTCTTTGTTCACAGTTCCAGATTGGTATTTACTGTAAAAGTATTGAAAATATCATTAAGAGTTGTCAACTAATAATTTAAAGTGTCATTTTGTTACAAACTTAATTTGTTTCACAAAACGCAACGCAAACATAGCAACAGGTAAAATTAATGACCGGGCTTTAATTATTTTATTTAGGGAGTTTCAGATATTGCCGAAAAGCACTCACGCTGATTGACAGCCTGCTTTCACAACAGGCCAAAGCTGCGATAAAACCAGGCAAACATTGACATAATCCGACGTTTCAATTTACTGATAAAAATGTTCTGTATAATAACAAGTGACTCAGTATTATTAAGCTGGACCTGATTGTATAAATTTGAAATCCATTTAATAATTATTTCAGTTTTCGGCCAACGCTAGACCGACTCACATCTTTCCGAGTAAGTTTTCCATTTTGGTATAAAAAAAAACTTCAATAATTCATCACGATGTCCAGAGATATTAAGAATAAAACTGTAGCTATCACTGGTGCCGCAGAAGGCTTGGGCCTGGAGATCGCCGGAAACTATCTCAAGCATGGCGCCAAAGTTGTAATCATTCTCGACATAAACGAAAAACTGGGATTTGAAGCTGTTAAGGCCTTGAATTCGAAGTTTGGTTCTGGCAAGGCCGTTTTCATCAAATGTGATGTCACCACCGATTTGGAAAGGGCGTATAACGAGATGGTCGATAAATTTAAGACCATTGATGTCCTATTTAACAATGCTGGTATTCTAAACGAAGGTTTACTGAAGAAAACAATCGATATCAACGTTACTGCTCTGATAGAATGGAGTATGAAGTTCTTCGAGCACATGCGAACTGACAAGGGTGGACATGGAGGTACTATCATTAATTTGGCATCCATCTATGGATTCAGGATTGACCAGTACATGCCAATTTATAATGCGTCTAAATTCGCTGTTATGGGCTTTACCAAGTCGTTGGGACACGAGTACAACTTTAAGAAATTTGGAGTCCGCGTTGTGGCTATATGCCCTGGATTCACTGATACTAAACTGGTTGCGGATCCAAAGTCTATTGTGCCTGAACAACAAGAAGATTTTAGTTCCTTTGTGAAGAATACGGTTTGGCAGAAACCTGAAGCTGTAGCTAGAGCAGCAGTTGAGGTCTTCCAGAAAGCTGACAGCGGTACTGCTTGGCTGATTGAAGGTGCAAGACCTATACAGTCTGTATAAGCGTATTCTTATTTCAAAATTGAATGGAGATTTGTGAGCCGGTAGGATGAGCGTTAGATCATATATATCAACGTCATATCCTGACATCTGTTTGGTTGATCACTAATTTATTTAAATACATAACATGAATAATACTGTATAGTAATTGTATCTAGCTAGCCACAAAAAATAAATCTATTATGTTACTGTTTGATCGTGTTTAGTTTTGGCTAAATGAGTCCTTAAAGAATGGCTCAAAGGTTTTATGGGTGCTGGCGAAATTACAGGCACATGGGACTTGCCTATGGCTTAGGGTGAAGGATGCAGTGGCACTGCAACTGTTATAGGTAGGCGTGTCACATACCACAAGGCGAAAGACTTGTTCATCCTGTCACTTGATCGAACACAGGCAGTGTCACACAATAGAACAGCGTCAACAGCACATTCACTTCGCTGTCTCACCGCCTCATCCGAGAACGCTCTACCACATTTAAGACGCACTTTAATATGTATTTTTTTTATTTATGCACTCTTTCTGTTTGAATAAAATTATATCCTACACAAGAGTTGTTGTAATTATTTCGATATTATGTCAGTGTTTGCGGGTTGTTGATCGACCTCTCGCAACCGCTAACGAACACTTCAAGTACTTCGTTATACTCCCCTCGATATTCTTCAATTTAATTGAATACCTACATTCATTAAAAACTTTTCAACAACGCTTTCGAATATTTAATGTAAGCAAGGTACATATTTGGTCTCATTGTAGGTCCTTTTTTTGAACTTTGGCTTTTCCGAGGGGAAACAATTTTTCATTTAAGAACCGAACGATGACCGAAGAGGAATAATGAACGTTATTGAACGTTTGAAATAATACAGTCACTAAATTAAAACCAATAATTTTCAAATGTAAACTTAAAGAATGAAGCTGAGGTAGCCTAATGGTTTGACCTACCGCCTCTCAAGCAAAGGGTCGTGGGTTCGGTTTCTCGGAATTTATGTGCGAA